TGAGATAGTATATATGTTTTTTCTACCCACAGTCCACCCACAGTCTTCCTCACTTAGAATGAATCTACACCCTCCCCCCAATTACGGATTAAACCCAGGCTTCACTGTGTTAGGCAAGCATTTTACCATTAAGATATATGCATACACACATACCACCTGCCCCTCATTTTATTTTGAGATATCATTATAACCTGTACTGGCTTCCTTGAAACTTATAAATCTTTAATATCAAGTAATTGTTTCCTCAGCAATAATTTGAGGAATTTATAACAATCCAGAGAAAAGGAATGGACCCAAGTAAGAAAAAAAAATGTTTACATAGATCTATAGAGATTCCAGGCTTACTGATACTTCTTACATCGATAGTATGATGCATCTTTCTTTCTTCCTTTCTTCCTTCCTCCCTTCCCTTCCCCTCCCCTCCCCTCCCCTTCCCTTTCTTTTTTTTTTGAGACCTGGAGCATGTTATGTGGCCTGGATGGCCTTAAAAGTCCTACCCTTCCTCCTCAGCCTTTGTGGACTGCAGGCATATACAACACCCAGAAGTATACTGTATTTCTGAAGGAACAGCTAAATGAGAGTTAGAGGACTTAGGGCCTCTGGGTATACAAATCCTTTTGGTTTAGGGTATAAAATCAAAATTCATGATTTGGCTTTGAAAATGCAGGAGGAAGATGTCTGAGGGCTTTGAAGCCTAAGCTTGTTCTTCATTGGCTTGTACTACATCCAGTCAACTGCACATTCTATTCACCTTCTGTACCCTTCTTTGAAGCCTAAGCTTGTTCTTCATTGGCTTGTACTACATCCAGTCAACTGCACATTCTATTCACCTTCTGTACCCTTCTTTGAAGCCTAGGCTTGTTCTTCATTGGCTTGTACTACATCCAGTCAACTGCACATTCTATTCACCTTCTGTACCCTTACGTAGACCCAAACCGGGCATGGCAGGGATTTCTGATTTTGTTTTGGGTTGGATCATAATAGATGTGTTCTTGGGATTTTACTCTCTGCTTTGTTACTGAGGACACACTACCATTGGGATATGCCAGCAACTCCTGATTTTACTCTTAAAAAAGGTAGTTGATTTGGGATGATAGCTAAGTGCTGGCCTAACACACACAAGACCTTAGGTTTAATCCCCAGCACTACAAGGAAAAAAAAAAACCAAGTCACATTCTACTTTACGTGCCAGAAACTAGAGTTTGTGCCCCACAAAAGGTAATGGACAGCATACCCTGAAGTCACAGGGAAAGCACACAATCATCTAAAGTTTTTCATTATAGACACAAGAAATTTCTACTTTTAGAACATACCTCTAAAAGCCAGTCTAAAAGTATTGACCTCATCTGTGGTTCCAGGTCAGAATGAAGAACTTGAAAATGTTTGCCATGTACGTATCTGCTCTCCTTCTGCAGCATGTTTTGCCAAACCTCCTGTGAACATCCCCAGCTACAAGAGGGCGGGGGGGAGGGACACATAATTTATATTCAGTCATCGATACAAGTTTCGGTTGCACTAGCATAACTCCACATTTCAAACACCCAACTCCAACTTACAATTACAAATTGGAAAAAGTCAACTCCAAGATTTCCACTTATTGATAAATTTCAGGAATGCTGTACAATCCTTCCTTATAATTTATAAAAGTTATGGTTCAAGGTAACTTTTAAAAAGCAAACTAGAAAAATACTTAAAATATATATATGATCACAATGTTAATTAAGTCCCAACACTGAAAAATGTATCAGCAGTGCCACTTACAGATCAGTATCACTTATGAGGTTAAGGAACAAAGTAGCAGGGGTGGGGACGATGTATTGAAGTATAGAACTCTGAATTTGCTCATTGAAATTAAATGTCAATTACTACATCAATGTTTTCTGTAAGCTTGTACTTCTTAGTCATGTCATAATTGATAGTAAGCTTGGTAAGGAATAAGTGGGTTAAGTCTATTTAAAATGTTCCCATTTTAATTAGACAACTATTAAAGCTACATTTAAATAATAGTTCAGTTCTGCTAAGTCTGGAAGCATGTACCAAGCAAGTGAAAAGAAGTATGGATTTTAAATATATCACTTGCTAACATTTGCAAATAATATTGTCTCATGAAGAATGATACCTATTTCTCAGTAAGTGAAGTATTAAAAAGGTAAACTGGTGGCCAGGCGGTGTTGGTGCACGCCTTTAATCCCAGCACTCGGGAGGCAGAGGCAGGTGGATCTCTGTGAGTTCAAGGCCAGCCTGTTCTACAAGAGCTAGTTCCAGGACAGGCTCCAAAGCTACAGAGAAACCCTGTCTCGAAAAAACTAAAAAAACAAAACAAAACAAAAAAACAAAACAAAACAAAACAAAACAAAGTAAATTGGTTTCTCTGTCTTACAATGAAGTCAATAGAAAACACAAGGCATTATTTTAATTCTACCGTTTTAGCCTTTGATAACATATTACTGATATTTTTTTACCTTAAATCTGGCAGAGGTGAAGGATTAATAAAAAGGTTTTTAAATCTGTAATTTGTAAATCTAGAGAAGTCGCTTGTTCCTATTTCTTTATGGGGTGTTTCAATGATAATGCAAGGACTGATTCCTCCAGACAGTACAGGCGGCCAACAATTCTGTCATTTCAAAACAGAAAGAGAAAAACTTATTTTTAAAGCCATAAAATTAATACCAGCCTTCATAAATTAAATCCTGATACTACAAGACATTCCTTTAAAAACTGAAACAATAACGAATGTATCTCTAGTATAAAATAACTTTAAAAGAAAGTAGCAGTTCTCTGAATTTAGAAATTTTAGCAGGGATACTTTTTTAAAATAAAAGCTCTTTCTTAGCAAGTATTTTCTGGTTGAGAAAACTTGAATGCAAAAAACTTAAAAATTCATTCAAATGGAGTCACTTAGAGGATCTTTTTGGGAAGAATTACCATCTCCAAGTGAACACATAGGAGGAAGGGGGCGCAAAAGGCTGCTTGCCAGGCTGTCAATGATCTCACATCCTTTTTATGCCAGCTCAGTAGCGATTAGGACCCTCGCCTGCAGTCTGGAAGCGCACAAAGAGCAGTATATAGGCGGGCCTGGTCGACTGGCCAGCTACACCGCAGCTCCTTCCTGTCAGGAATCTTCCCACCGTAAGGCAGTGACACACGACTGTACTCTTATCCTTCCCCGGCCCACCCAGTCCAGTTTTGCATTACCCGAATCTCGTACTGATGCTTCTTGCTGATCTCCTCTTTTCCTTTTTTGACATCCTGGAGAATAGAAAAGACCATTGTAAACTCAGCTCTCAGCAAGCATTTCCTCCCTTCCTCCCTCATTTTCCTTAAATCACCTGTGCTGTTTTCCTCTTCTTGGCCTGAATTATCTGGGCTTCTTGTGGGGAGTCTGGCTGGCTGGGCTGGGCATGCTGCTGCTTAGCTTGTAAACGGCTACTGCGATGGGTTTTAGACAGGAAGTTTAATTAGTAAGTCATGTATTTCATAGGCAGCAGCTAATTTTCAAACATGTCTCCAAGACTGACAGTGTTACCTGCGTCTCGACATTCTCTTCTTTAAGGTCTATGAAACCCTAAATGGGGGAGAAAAATCAAAATCAAGAACACATTCATTCATTCATTCATTCATTCATTCATATTCTCCAAGTGCCAATTAAAATTGATTCAGAAATGAACAGCTAACGTTACCAGAAGGTGGCCTGAGCCTTTAAAAAAAAATTCAGGTCATCTTCCAAAATACATTAACTATCTCACAGTAATTTTACATACATGCCCTCATTTCCTCAACAGAATTAAACTCGGAAAGTGAGTGCGTTCAGAAGTCTGCACAGTACCCTAGCACCCTTGCGATGAGTATTTTTCGGGTATTCATGCATTTCTCTGTACATCAGGGGTGGGAAAGGCACGTCCCGGCCTCGGCACGCCAGGCGCCTGGGCGAGCCTCTAAGAGCGGGCTCTGGAGAAGACGGTTCCGCGCCAAATTGGAGAGCCACAGTGGCGGGGAAGCAGGGGGTGGAGGGACCCAAGCCTGGTGTCACGTCCTCCAGGCTCCCTTCCCTCCTTCCCGGCCCCGCCCGGCGGGCAGTGCCGCTTGCAGGGGCGACAGTACCCCAATTCCAGAAGAGCAAAAGGGGAAAGTGGAGGGGGGAATTAAATGAGGAAACTCTGTTCAAGAATCCCCCCCCCCCCGTAAAGGGACCCACACCTCCATCCTCTCGCGCGGGAGATCTTTCCCAAATGAGGGTGGCCAGAGAGGCTTTCCCGCGGCCCCTCACTGGGGGTACCCTCACCCCGCGCCTCTCCCGGGCCCCCTGACACGGATCCTGTCAGACAGGGACCGACCTCGGGAACACAGTCGCCCCGGGCGGGCTCCCAGCTCTCCGGCCCCCCGTTTCTCCTCTCCCGCGGCTCCCGCCAGCCCAGGACCCCTTCCCTCCCGCACCCCACTGCGGCCAGCACCTCCTCACCGCCAGACCCTCTACAGCTCGGCTCAGCTGGCGCCGGCGCCAACTCAATATATAGGCCTGGCCCGGCCCGCCCCGCACGCATGCGCCGCAGACTGACACCTCGGCGGGCGCCTTCCCCCTCCCCCCGCCCGTCCGCCCGCCCGCGCCCGCCCAGCTCGTCCGCGCGCGCCGCGCCCTGCCCTGCCCTCAGTGCGCGCGGGAGGACTGACGGGCGGGCGCCGAGTGGCCGCAGGGCTGCCCTCCCGGGCCGCGCTCCTCCGCCCCGCTCGACACTCCACCTGCGCGCGCCGCGACTGCAGTCGGCTGACGGGGCGCCCCCCCACCGGCTCCCGCCCGACCTCCGGCTCGCTGTCCGATCTCGGGGCGCCGGGCCGCTGCGGTTCGGTCCCGCAGGGCAGGGACGGGGCCCGCCCAGGCCCCGGGGAAGCCGGGTCTTCCTTCAACGCCGGGAGCGGGAGCCGAGGGCCCGCCCCTTTGGGAGGAGCCAGGCGGCGGCGGCCGAGCCGGCCAATGGCAAGAGAGGACGGCGGCACAACGTGGAGCGGCCGCGGAATGTAAACACGGCGGAGCGCGCGGCCCGCCACGTGCGGGGCCGGAGCCAGCCGCCGGGCGACGAGCCGCTCCGCCGCCCAGGGCCGGCCGCGCACAAGAAGGCTCCTCAGCCCCGGGAGCAGGTACGTGTCCGCCGCGTCCTCGCGCCCCGCCGGCGCGCGGGAAACCCTCGCGCCGCGCCCTCCCCTCCTCGTCCCGGTTCCGGGCGCCGTCCCCGTCCGTCAGTCCGTGGGACCCGGCCGGAGGGCAGGACGGGCCGCACCACGTGCGATCAGCCCCAGCCGCGCGCCCCGCCCCGCCCTGCCCCGCCGCCAGCGCGCCCTGCGGAGCCCGCGCGATCGGCCTGCGCGGGAGAGCCGCCCGCCCGCCGGCGATCGAGAGAGCGAGCGCTACTGGGACGTGGCGGGCCGCCATCGTGCGTTCCGGCTTGGCGTTCCCGCCACCTCGCACACACCTCGCCACATCGCGCGGATGACACTCCGCGCACAGCCCCGCGGCGGCCGGGCCGCAGCTCCGGAAACAAAGACCCCCCCCCCTCGGGCTGCGGGGCCAGCGGCCGCGCGCGCCCTTCCCGACCTGCGCCCCTCGGAGCCCTGGAATGACCCAGCGCCTGCACCTTTGGATTCCGAGGGCAGTTCTCCCCGAGTGACACGTAGGCGACAGAATCGGAGGGAGAGGCACAGAGAGTCCTAGGCCTAACAACCAGTAAAGCATATCATGGCTCTTAAGAGGCGGGAGCGGCCTCCTCCTGCAGTTAGAGACTTAACCTGTGGTGATGAGAAAGCTCTGTGTGTGTGTGTGTGTGTGTGTGTGTGTGTGTGTGTGTGTGTGTATTTCAATAAATGTGTGTTAAATGAGTATAAGCAAAACAATAGCCTACAGCCTTGGCTCCATACTGAGTTCGAGACCAGTCTAAGTTACACTATCCTAAAAAAACCAAACAGATGGCCTGTGTGGGTGAGCTTGACCAAGATATACTGAAAAACGAGGGCTGTCGTTTACATAGGGTTTGTCTTAAGTATCATATGCGCAGCCACATAAGTCACTGTAATGAAGTCATTAGACATGTACTGTGGCTGTATCCTTACTGTATGTGAGCAGAGGAGCCGTAGTGAAGACCACATTAGGATGATTCTCTTGGGCATTCACCCAAAGGAACTGAGTCAACATTAAAACAAAACAAAAACAAAGGCACCAACCTGGGCAGTAATGGCAGTTGGGAGGCAGAATCAGGTGGATCTCTGTGAATTTTAAGCCAGCATAGTCTACATAGTGAGTTCCAAGACAACCAAGGCTATATAGAGAAACTGTATCAAAAAACCAAATAAGTACAAGCATTTATTATGACACCGATATTCACAAATCCTAAATTACAGAATCAGCTTTGGCCACTGTCCACATGAATATGCTAGACATACACAATCAAGTATTCTTCACTTATAAAGAACAAGGTTGTATTTGCAGGAAAGTTGATGGAACTGGAGCATAATATTAATGGAGATAAGCTTCAGAAAGACGAGTATGGCACGTTTTCTCATGCAAAACCTAGATTAAGATTAAAGACAAAGGAATGGCTCAGTGATAGAGCACTTACCTATCATGAATTTGATCCTCAACACGTGGTAGGGCATGGTATAGAAAGGGACTGTTTAAAGAGAGACTGAGCAAGGGTGGATGATGGGAGAGAAATAGGATCAAGGTTTTTTGCAGCCTTAGAATGTCATGGTTAACTCTTTCTGTATAGCTAAAATGTACTGATAAAAAAGATTAACTTTGGCAGTGTACAGAGACTTCTTCCATATCAACTAATCAGAATTGATGATCAGTAAATACAAGCCATTCTGTCTCTTATATACCCTTCCTCCTTACCAGGAGTGAAAACAGTTTCAGCCCTCTGTCAGGGTGGCAGGCACGGGCGGAAGGGAGAGGCAGGTGGAGCTCTGAGTGTGAGCTCAGTTGCAGTATGTGCTGGGTAGTTCCTTAAGCACCGTCTTAAGGATGTCGTCTCTTATATGTCAAAGTTCATTTTTGGTGTACTTTTTCCCTGCAGTCATTCCAGTTTTCAATTTACCTGCTTTAAAATGTATAAAATTCTGACCGGCATGGGGACCCACAGCTTTAATCCCAGCAGAGCAGGTGAAACTCTTAAGTTCCAGGCCAGCCTGGTCTGCATAGTGAGCTCCAGGACAGCCACGGCTACGTAGAATGAGTATAAAATTCCTTTATACGTTTAGAAAATTTGGCATTTTCTGAAGAACCTACTGTGCGTGCCCTGAAATCTGGCTAATAAACTGTTAAACTCTACAACATTTCTTGGAGTAATTATTTGATTCGAGGAACAGGTTTCTTTATTTTTCAGAAAGCCAGGTTCAGGGTTTATACCTGTTGTTCTGGTTACTGATAAATTGAGGCAGGCTCCAAGGCTAATCTGGGCAGGATAGTAAACCCAGCTGACATACTTCCAGTTCCTGTGTCTTTGCCATGCCTTCTCTCTAGACCTCCTGGATCTTTGTTTGTACCCCATAGTTTGTCCTCTAAACAAGACACCAGTGCCTACGTAAGCCCTGACCTAGAGCCTCCTGTGTAGATACCACAGGTACATTCTAGAGCCTCCTGTGTAGATACCACAGGTACATTCTAGAGCCTCCTGTGTAGATACCACAGGTACATTCTAGAGCCTCCTGTGTAGATACCACAGGTACATTCTAGAGCCTCCTTTGTAGATACCACAGGTACATTCTAGAGCCTCCTGTGTAGATACCACAGGTACATTCTTGGCCACGTTTTTACTTTGAGTTTTTTGAGATAGGGTCTCATTGAGTTTTATGGGCTGTCCTCGAGTTTGCAATTCTCCTGCCTCAGCTTCTGACTTAGCAGGGATTACAGGTCTGCACCACCAGGCCCATCTTTGTTCATCTTTTTATAGGTAGTTAGCGCATGGCTCCGAGAGGTATGTTGTAGGACCTTGGTAAATGCTAGTTTGATGGATGATGGGTAGGAGAAGGTTGTGAGACAAGATCTCACTGTGTAGCCCTGGCTGCTCTGAACTTGTGTTGTAGACCAGGATGCCTTTAAACTCACAGGGACCTGCCGTCTCTGTCCGAACTCCTTTATATCTTTCTCTAGTTAGCTTCTCCAATAGTTTAAAGCTTACGGAAAAAAGAGTGGGCAGAATAGAGCTCCCATGTCTCCCTGCCTGCTTCACACATCCAAATATATTATATATACTATATGCATGTATATGTGTAAGTCATACATACATATATATCTAGTGCCACAGCATATCATATACTATATGCACATATATGTAAATCATATATACACATATCTAGTGTCACAGCATATCATAAACTATATGCATATATATGCATGTATCTAAGCCACACATATGTATATATCTAGTGCCACCGTATATCATATGCTATATGTATATATGTAAGTCATATATACATATATCTAGTGCCACAGCATATCATATACTATATGCATAAATATGTAAATCGTATATACATATATCTGTTGTCACAGTATATCATATATACTGTATGTATATATGCATACACATGTAAATCATATATACATATATCGCTAGTGTCAAATGTTTTGTGGTGATGTATTTGTCATTAATAAGTCAGTGTTGATGTGTTGTTGTTATTATTAACTAAAATATATGTTCTATTCAGTTTTCCTTAGCTTTTACCTAATGCCTGTTTGGTTTGTTTGGCTTTGACACAGGTTCCCATGACTCTCAGGATGGCCTTGAATTCTGTTTGTAGTTGAGGATCATTTTGAACTTAATGCCAGTGCTGGGATCACAGGTGTACACTATCATAGCCAATTTACAGGGATCTGGGTGGGACTATAACCTATTTAGATAGGGTCTCTCACTGTCTATAGCCAGCTCAAGCTGGCCTTGACTTGCTAGCAAAAGTTGACTTGAACGTGTGATCCTCCTGCCTCCACGTCCTAAATGATGGGATTCTAGGCATTCGTCACTGTGACAGGCCTTACCTGTGTTTTTATCCCTCCACAAGCACTTTCAGATATACCATGTTCAAATGTGTATCAAATGTGTCCGGAGTTTCCTTTAGCCTGTGACAAGTTTTCAGCCTTGCCTTGTTTTTCATGACTGGAAAATTTTAAGAAAGCTTAAAGGCTTACATTACAGGCAGTTGAAGGTTTTTGTTTTTGTTTAGGGATTGTGGCTGACACCTAGAGACCCCTATGCAACTGTACAGTTCAGGCACCTCCTCATAGATTTCTCTTACTTCCAGAGAATGGTTGGTGGACATGCTCTTCTGGGCTTGCTCCATGTGTTCGTGAGCAGATACTAAGTCAACATAAGGACTTCTATGTATTAGTCCGCTTGGTCCCTAAGATAATTTACCATACAGAAAGAAATTTCCCAGTGACTGCAAGGACCCAACTAAAAGGACCCTGTAACTGCCCTTACGTTGGGCATTCTCCTAAGCCTCAGGCTAGCAGGTGCAGAGACTGGAATAGGCCACTGGCAGTCTAAGACAGATATTATAATGGCCTGTGATCAGCTATTGACTTGGACATAGAAGGTTAGAGAGCTCCATAACCTGTTGTAAGGAGAGGCCGCTTGTTTGTTTCCCGGCTGCTCTGGCAGCTCAGACCTGAAATAATCACACAGAAACTATATTATTTAAAATACTGCTTGGCCCATTAGCTCTAGCTTCTTATTGGCTAACTCTTACATGTTAATTTAACCCATTTCTATTAATCTGTGTATTGCCACATGTCTGTGGCTTACTGGATAAGTTCCCGTGGGGCTGCAAAGCTTCTCTCCAACTCCTCCTTCTTTGTCCCAGCATTTAGTTTAGTTTCCCCCGCCTACCTCTATTCCCTGCACAGGCCCAAGACAGTTTACTTTATTCAGTAATGGTAATTAAAGCATACAGAGGGGAATCCCACATCAATAATCCATTTATAAGAGCCCCTAACCTCCTTAGCCAAAGTAGTGCTGCAAAACAAGAGAGGACTAGACCTTATATTCCTACAAGGTGGACTTCGCACATCATTGGGAGAAGAATTTTGTTTTTATGTGGACCACTCGGGTGGTGAAAGAAGCGCTAGCTGAAGATAGGGAGGGATTAGC